CTCCCCACCCGTCCCCTCAAGGCTGGGTGAGGCCCTAGGCTACAAGCCTGGCGGCAAGCTCAAGTACATGGCCCTGGGCCAGGGCATGGGGCCCAAGGCAGTGGAGCTCGTGGAGACAGGGGCACAGAGGGGCCTCTGGGTCATGCTGCAGGCGCGTGCAGGGGGGGAGAGATGTCTCTTGCTTTAGGCGGGTGCCAGGCTTGCCGTGGCAACGAGGGGCCCGCTGGCGCTGAGACTTGCGCATGCGCCAGTCTGGGGCCTAGGCAGCACGTTTGTCTCGCCGCTTGACCCGCCTGCTCGCCGCTGCCCCAGACGCCCGCCTCACTCCGGGACCTTTGCCGCAGACCCCGCCCCCTTTCCTTGCTGCCCCCAGAACTGCCACCTGCTGCCCAAGTGGCTGAAGACCCTTGAGAAGCTGCTGGAGCGGCTGGCGCGCCCCCACAAGGACTTCAGGCTGTGGCTCACCACGGAGCCCTGCGAGGCCTTCCCCCTGGGAGTGCTACAGGTGGGGACGGCCACGTGCTGATGGACACGCCCTCGCCCGCCGCATCTGGGCAGCAACGGCATGCAAATGGCAAAGGCCAAGTTTTGTCTGGGAGGTGGCAGCACTCGGCATGCAAGACCGATGCGTCGTCTAAAACCCCCTTTCCATTGTGATGATTCCACACAACCTCCATTGCCCCCGCCCTTGACCCCATGTCCCTTTCCCCCAGCGGTCGCTCAAGGTGGTGACCGAGCCGCCCAATGGTCTGAAGCTCAACCTGCGCCAGTCCTACGGCAAGATCTCGGACGAGCTGCTTGACGACTGCCCCCACCCCGCGTTCAGGAGCCTCGTGTATGTGCTGGGCTTCTTCCACGCCGTGGTGCAGGAGCGGCGGTGAGCGGGGGGCGCACGGGCGCGTGCCTTTCACGTCGCTGCACGAGAGAGCCGGCCGGGGAAGCATGGGTGCAATTTTTTGTCGCTGTGCCCTGCCCAGAAAAAGCGACGGACGGAAAGCGACAGCAACACAAACTGCTGGAAGTCATGTGACAGCAGTGAGCACTCTTGTGGCGTAGCTGTTTGTACCCTTATTCGAGTCCCTCAAGCACAGGCAGCACCTGCCACCTTGCGTGCGCTCCCTCCAAACCCTTTCCTGGCCTCTTCCTCCCGCCCCGCCCCGCCCCGCCCCCCGCAGCAAGTACGGCAAGCTGGGCTGGAACGTGCCCTACGATTTCAGCGAGACAGACTTCCGCATCAGCATGGCCCTCATCAGCACCTACCTCACTAAGGCCGCGCTGGCGCAGGAGCAGCAGCAGCAGCAGCAGCAGGCGCTGCTCCGGCAGCAGGAGGCGGCGGCGGTGCCCTGGGGCACGCTGCGCTACCTCATAGGGGAGGCGATGTACGGTGAGGCGCACGCCGTTGCGGCCACGTGCAGCCGGCGGCTAGGGCTGCCCGATGGAGCCCTTGAGCGCTTGCCAGCTCAGCAGCTGGGCTGCGGTGGCCCTGACTGCAATACATCCGGAGCTCCCCTCCCCCTGATCTCGCAGCAGTTTAAAACCAATTGCCGTGGCCCCTATCAAGCACAGCCTGGCCCGGTGACCCTCCACCTCTCCCCTCTACTACCTGGCCCGCCGACCCTCCACCCCTCCTGAACCACCAGGCGGCCGCGTGTCGGACAGCTTTGACCGGCGCGTGCTGACCACATACCTGGAGGAGTACATGGGCGACTTCCTGTTCGACGCCTGCCAGCCCTTCCACTTCTACGCGCCCAGGGACGGCGCCCCAGGCGGCGCCATCGACGTGCCCCAGCCGGGGCCGCGCGACGCGTACCTGCGGGCGATAGAGGCGCTGCCGCTGGTGCAGAGCCCGGAGGTGCGCGGCTGCCGGGTGTTGCGGGCACGGTTCGACAGCCATGTGCATGTATTGGTGTGAGCTGTGTGTGTGTGTGTGTGTGTGTGTGTGTGTGTGTGTGTGTGTGTGTGTGTGTGTGTATAAGCGGCTCCGCGATAGAGCAAGCGCTCTCCTGTTCGTTGCAACGTGTGCCCCGCTGTATGCAGCGGCCCTTGGCAGCATCTCAGCCGGTCGCCAGACCGCACCAAGCAATGGCGCAGATCCCACGTGCGCCAATACCCCCTCCCCTCGGGGCGCGTCCCCCCTCCCCCAGGTCTTCGGCCTGCACGCCAATGCCGACATCTCCTACTACACCGCCGCGGCCAAGGCGCTCTGGGCGGGCCTCGTCGACCTGCAGCCCCGCGCGGGCGGCGGCGCCGGCGGGGGCGGGGGCGGCGGTGGGGCTGGCGGCGCGCGCAGCCGCGAGGAGCTGGTGGCGGGCGTGGCGCGCGACATCCACGGGCGGCTGCCGGCGCCGTTTGACGTGCCGCTCATCCGCAAGGCCATCGGCGTGCCGTCCCCGACACAGGTGGGCGCGGGGCACGGTTGTGCGCCTTATACGGCACGCCCACGCCGACGCGCCGGTCTGGTGACTCGCACGTGCAGCCTGCACGGCTCAGGTACCGCCTGCAGACGCGCCTGCCGTCTCCCTGGATGCTGCCCAAACGCACGCGCCACAATCACACCGCCGCAACGCCGTCGCCCCTCCCCTCACGCTGCTCTTCACCCGCTACGCCCCCGCCCCCTTGCAGGTCGTGCTGCTGCAGGAGCTGGAGCGGTGGAACGCGCTGTCGGCGGCCATGGCCTCCAGCCTTCACGACCTGCAGCGCGCCCTGTCAGGAGAGGTCGGCTTCAGCGGCCCCCTGGAGGAGCTCTCCGCCGCGCTCGCCAACGGCAAGCTGCCGCCCGCCTGGGGGCGCCTCGCGCCGCCGACGCAGAAGCCGCTGGGGCCGTGGATGGCGTGGTTTGCGCGGCGGCACGAGCAGTACGCGGCGTGGGTGGAGGGCGGCGAGCCCAAAGTCATGTGGCTGGCGGGGCTGCACGCGCCGGAGACGTACCTGGCTGCGCTGGTGCAGGCGGCGTGCCGCGACAAGGGCTGGCCGCTGGATCGCAGCCGGCTGTACACGCAGGTCACGCGGCTCACGGACGCGGGGCAGGTCGAGGAGCGGCCCAGGTGCGCGGGCGCGGCCTGGGAGCGCGGGCAGGCGGGCGGGCAGGCGGCTTTGGCGAGGGGACGGCCAGGCAGGCTGGCGGGCGGGCAGGAAGGGGTCACGGATCGCACGCGTCGCAACAGGCCGGTGGTCGGTCAAGCAGGAGGGGGGCCGCTTCCGGCTCCCACCCACCTTGCAGAGGGGCTGGGCCAAAGCACAGATTCATTGCGCCGGCCTGCCGAGGCGGCTGCGTGAGGCAAACTTGCAGTCAGGCACCGACAACTCCCTCATCGCCGCTGACGCGCCGTTGCCGACCCTGCTGCCCCCTTGGCGGCTCTCCCTCAGGCACGGGTGCTACGTGAGCGGGCTGTACCTGGAGGGCGCTGCCTGGGACCACGACGCCGGCCAGCTGACGCGGCAGGCCCCCAAGCAGCTCGTGCAGGAGCTGCCGCTGCTGCAGATCATCCCCGCAGAGGTGGGGCCCCGCATGAAAAATGGCTCCTGGGCCGTGTGCACGAGGCGGGGCTGCGCGAGGGGCGCGCCTTGATGGCGCTCTGCGGCCTGTCACGAACAGGTTATATCAAGGAGTAGGCCGGCGGTCGGCTCACCCCGCAGCCCAAACGCTGAACCTGGGGGCGCACGCAGGCAAAGCCATCACCCAACTCCATGCGTTATCCATCGCCTGCATACTGGTTGCACTTCCCCCCTCCAGCGTGCGAACGAGGCAGGTGACTGTGCTTGCGCCTCGCACCTTCCACACCGCGCCGCGCCCCCCCCCCCCCCTTGCCCCAACCT